GTGATTCTGGGCTGGGGGTCACAAATTGAAATGCCTCCTATATCACACATTACTTGGGTTATGTCTGCCTGTGACAATAGGGAGCTTCCCTAATCACTCTTTATATGCTGCTGTTTAAGTCGACAACTTCCCTCCCCAATAAATATTCACTTAACATCTCCTGCCTCTGTGGTTCTGGTATTCACTTTAATATGCTGTCAGAATGGAATCATTGTTTCTGGTAAATTAAAATGCCTGTCATTTCTTTTTTTGTTCCTCATATTTTTTATTGGTGCATTTTAGTTGTACACAATGATGGGACTCGTTGTTACATATTTGTATATACACATGATATGGCAATACAATTTGGCCAATATTTCCTCTTTCCTTCAATGCATGTCATTTCCTAATACATTAGAAAGGAGAAATAAACACAAAGTTCAAATCTAACACATCAGTACTTTTCCATGCAGATTTATGCATATGTTAGAGGGTGCTCAATTTGTATAATGATTGTTCTTTCGAGTTGGACTATTTTTTTGTGGTGCTAATCATTGACTGTAGTCCTAAAAAAGTCTATGAAAATGTCATGTTCTGTATAATAGCAGAGTAAGATAATGTTTTATAAAACAAAACAAATAAAAATACAGTGTTATAGTCTGCCTTCTAGATGGTGAAATAGCTACATAAATTATTTGAAATGTTTAAATTTGTTTACTTATTTATTTTATTTGTCAAGATTTATTGATTTATTTAAATATTAATTTAGATCAGAATGAATTTGTGTATATTTGTATTTTGGGTTATAATCCAACTCTATTTTCTTGCTCTCTTCCTGTCTTTGGCTCTGGGAGCTCTTTCAGTTGGTTCCTGTGTCCTTTTGATATTCTCTCACCATTGTTTTTTTTGAGGGGGTTTATTTTTTAAATACATGACAGTGAAATATATCACAATTCTATTACACATATAGAACATTTTTTCATACCTCTGTACATAAAGTATGTTCACATCAATTCATGTCTTCATACATGTACTTTGRATAATGATGTCCATCACTTTCCACCATCCTTGCTAATCCCCTGTCCCCTTCCTTTCCCTCCCACCCCTCTGCCCTATCTAGAATTCATCTATCCCTCCCATTCTCTCCCTCCCTACCCCACTATGATCAGCCTCCTTATATCAGAGAAAACATTAGGCATTTGTTTTTTAGGGATTGGCTAATTTCACTTAGCATTATCTTCTCCAATGCCATCCATTTACCTGCAAATGTCACGATTTTATTCTCTTTTATTGCTGAGTAATATTCCATTGTGTATATATGCCACATTTTTTAATCCATTCATCTACTGAAGGGCATCTAGGTTGGCTCCAGAGTTTAGCTATTGTGAATTGTGCTGCTATAAACACTGATGTGGCTGTCTCCCTGTAGCATGCTGTTTCTAAGTCCTTTGGAGATAGTCCGAGGAGAGGGATAGCTGGGTCAAATGTCTCATCATTGTTTTCTTTTTAAAACATTGCCTTAATTTTCAGCATGCCCATCTTGTATATTTCCTGCCTGGGTCTTAGAATCTGCCATTTATCCAGTGAGCCTGGTTTCCTTTAGGGGGGGATGATCTCAGAGCCCACCGTCTTGCTGCTGATTACGGTTGTGGCTATCAGGCTCTCATTGCTCAGCTGAGAGAGCTGGGTAATGCACACGTGTGCACCCACTGGTTTTTGTAAAGGTCAATATGCATTACATTGACAGGATATGAGAAGGGGCAAGAAGAGAAGCAGGGAGAAGAGTTAGGAGACTATTTAAAGCCAGATGAGATGGTGGCTGCTTAAGGCCTGTGGATGGGAGGAGTTGCTATTGGGTTTGGGTGTGGTAGACAGGGTGCTCTGTGCCTCTGAAAACAGATGCTCATGTTATTCTCTTTACCCTCTGGCCCGGCAGTGTCTGGTGTGGCTTTGGTGGCAGGCAGACTCTCCAGGAATGGTGACCTGGTAGCTCTGAGCCCACAAGCCCACACCTTTGCAAGAGAAGCCCAGAGGAAGGAGCTTCCCTTTGCGACTGTTTCAATAGAAACCTAGGATTGGGTTATATTCCCATCCCAGAAGTAATGAGGAAGGTCAGGGAGACATGTTAGGTGGGTCAAGCCATGACTTTGTCCTTGGAGCTGCAGATTGGGGATGGTATGGACTGAGGATGGAAGGAGGGTGGTTCTCCAGGCAAACCATAGGGACAATGCCTGAGCACAGAGTTGTGTCATTCCTCAGTTGCCCGGCCCTGGGTTTGCAGGCCTTTGCAGGCCTTGCTTGGGTTTTCCCATTACTAACTGCTGGATCTGGCCTTGGAACAACTCACCAACCCTGTGGTGTTAGGGGTTGATATGGAAAGTGAGACACCTCCCAGGATGTCTCTGAGCTACAGGTCTATAGCTGTAGTTGCTAAAGGAATGGATCTTCAAGAGCATGACCCTGTGACCTTCAGTAGGGGCAGGAAAAACAAATGCATGAGTGAGTCCAGCTGTGAAGTGGTTCTGGCAATCGAGTTTTCTCTACCCGTTTGGTTTGGTTTTCTCTGGCTAGAGAGCAGAGGACCCTCTCAGCAAGGACATAGCAACCTCCTGGGTTTTGTTCCCTGCTGGCAGATGGTGTTCTCATGGGAAATATAAAAATTGGGACCCTGGAATGGAGGTGGGAGGCAGCAGGAGGGTATGGGGACAGGAAAGGCAGAGCAAGAGGGGGAGTCCTGCTGGTCATTATCTGGAGGACTATGTCCCTCTCCTGGCCCAGACACCACCCTTCTGCTGAGCAAGGGATCCCCAAAGTTCTGCTTTCGAGGCCCTCTCAGCTTCAGGGGCCCTTGGGGGAAAGAGTTCTTGAGTGGGACCAACCCGAGTATTTTGTGTGGGGAAATAGAAACCAGGACTGCCCGTTTCTTTCACCTCCATCCCCGGGGAGCCACCTCCAGCAGCTCCTGTCCCATGTGGAGAAGGGGCTTGGGGGACACTGCTGGGGCCCTGGAAGGGCTGCTGACTGGCTGAGAAACAGCAGTCCTGGGGTGACTTTCTATTTCCCCAGGTCAGCGCTCAACAGGCAGGAGGTCAAACAGAAGGCCAACAGGTGTCCTCTGCAAGCCACACTGCTCCCTGCACGGTCCTACTGACACACGAGCACCAAACATAGCATTATGAACAGGGAGGGGGCAGCCACTCCCTCTCTACCCTGCAGATCAGCCATCCTTGGGCTACCTGCCCACTGAGTTGACAGTGGCCTCCATCACACAGCCTCCTCCTCGACCCGTGCTGCAATTCCAGCCCCTTTCTATGTGGCTTTTCCACAAATAGAGTCTGAAGTCATTTTAGTCAGTGCCTAGGAGCCTACGGGAGGCTGTCCCCAGGATTTGTGAAAAAGGCACAGGAAGGGGAAGTAGGGAGAGAGGATAAAAACAGGAAAACAACAATATGGGGAAGTAAGCAATTTGCAAATTTGTCATTGACAGCTTGCAAGAGTGGTGGCGATGGGAGACTGACGACTACCATCTGAGGCAATGGGGAAAAGGGGAACCCAGGGACAAGAATCTGCCAGTATCCCCAGAACTGGCTCTTGGAGGGATGTCTTGACCAGCCAGTGGGGAATATTGGTTCTGTTGAAGTGGCTATCCCTTAGTAGGGACAGGGACATCAGGCTTGCATAGGTCCATGGTGACATCCACTGGGATACTTCATTTCCCTTTCTTCTAGTTCTAGGCCCACCAAGAGGTAGGAGCCTCCTGAAGCAGTAAACACTGCTAGAAGTTATACATCTCATGGAAAAGCAGCACACTGGGCCCAATTTGATTTGATTTCGACACTAACTCCCTGAATTAGCACAGACCACACAGGTTTAGGGCTCTATTCCCCAAGACAGTCTCTACTTCCCATACCAGCAATGAATGAGGCTCCCAGGTGATCCCACACTTCTGCCTGGCTGACTACAGATTTGGGGATTCTCATGACACTCCCTCAGTTTTGATGGCTTACTAGAGCAACTCACAGAACTCAGGAAAGCATTAGATTTCCTATTAGAGTTTATTGCAAAGGGTACCATCAGCCAGATGAAGAGGGCATAGGGCAAGGTCCAGAGGGGTCCCAAACATGACAGCCTCTGTCTCCATGGAGTCAGGTGGGACATCCCAGAACATGGGATGTCCAGCCCAGAGACACTCCTTGAGTTTTGTTCAAGAGTTCGTAAAACCCCATCTCCAGTTCCTCTCCCCTACCAGGATGTCTGAGAGTGGGGAGTGGGGATGAGTTTCTGAAAGTTCTCCCTGCTAATGGTGGGTCTTTAGTGTGCCAACCATCCTGAAATTCCCGAGTGCACCTGAGCCAGTCATTAACATAAACTCAGGTGTGGTCATTAGGTATGACAATAGGCACTCCTATCACTCAGCAAATAGAGTTTCAGGAGCTCTGTGCCAGGACCCAGGACAAAGACCAAATATGTTTTTCAAATCATCTCAGCTTCTTTCCTATAATCAGGTTGTAAGGTACCAAGTGGGCAGTGAGTCACCCCATCCCTTCCCTTGACCTGCAGCTCCCTGCCACATGGACCCTGCAGACTTCCATCACCTGACCTCCTCTTACTTTAGARGGAGTGGGGTGGGACTAAGGACTAGCCACAGTTGCAAGAATGCTTTCTCTGCAGAACTGAGACACCTCTACCYTCTTCCCAAGCAGCCAGTTTCAGCCCCCAGAGAACAGGTGTATTTATGACTTTGAGGCAGAGGCTGGAGTTTGGGGCACTAAAGGAGGAGGTGCCAATGGGAAGAGGAAGAGGACAGGGCCCAGGCCGATGGACTCCTTGAAGCCTGATGGGAGGGGCTGTGCTGGGCTGGGTTTCTGCAGAGTCAGTAGGGAGGGCTTTGAATGTGATCATGACCTTTCCAGGAGCATATAAGTCTGGGGTATTTCTGTTTTGCTCCCACTGTTACTGGCTTGCTTGTTACTTGGTCTTTGTCCTGGGTCCTGCTCCTAGCGGGAGCAGCAGGGCTGAAGGACGCAGAGATGGAAAGTGACACGGTCCACTTCTGCACAGATAACCAGCGTGTCTCCCTGCATCCCCGAGGTGAGAAACTTTGGGATTAGCCCGCCTGTCTCCCAGCCCTCTGAGCTCTTCCTTAGCAAGTCAGAGCACAGATCATTGCTGTCTTGGCCTACACAATGAGCAGGTAAGGGCAGAATGTGGGTCACGTAGAGGATGGGGCACCTCTCCATCTCTGCATGAAGTCTCCCCAGACCTCTTTTGTTGAGGATGGCAAGGAAAAGGGGTTGCACTTTGAATTTAGTTGGACCTGGTTTTGAACCCCAGTTCTGTATATGGGTGGACCTGTAAGCCTCTGGGGGCTCTGGGCTGGTTTCTAGCCACTGTCAGTGTGTTTCCTTGGGCACATTTTGTCTCTAATCACAGTCCCATACTCATGGTGGCATTCTAACCCCAGTAGCAGAGGCTCCAGGACTGTCGCATGTCAGTGTGTGGGGAGGCAGCAGTGGGGCCCCAAAGGGCTCTGACTCTTGCTCTGGTCAGGATTCATGAGCAAGACTGGCCTGGGGACTCCAAGGGCTCTGGCTCTGTCCTTCCCTCTTTTCCCCCTCTCCCTCCCTTTTCTCCTTTCTTCTTTCACTCAAACCACACTTTCCTTGCTCTCCCCTCTGTGCCAGGTTCCCTGGTGCCACTGCAGCCTCCTTGGGATTCTGAGCGCTGGGGTCTCAGCAGCATGCCTTTCCTGGTGTTGCTCCCATACCCCATGGTGAACTCTGGCAAATGTCCCAAGTGCTTCCCTTTCCTTCGGCAGCCACCTGGGTGATAAGCATGATGGGTTTTCCACCCCCAGTAGGTAGACCCGGAGCTTGGGTCAGAGACTGCCTCTGTCCCTGCCGGCATGGCACCCTCTCATCCTGGACCACCCTGGCTTCTCCTTTGCAGAGGTGGATTCTGAGACAGTGGCTCCGGCAGTCCCCAGGAGGTCAAGGCTCGTTGTGGCCACTCTGGCTGTGATCCTGGTCTCCTCTCTTGTGGCTCTCTTTGTTGTGGGTAAGTTTTCAGGTGACCCGAAACCCACTGACTCTTTCCTTCTTGTGTGAAGGTTCCAGGGGACCCAGATGTACATTCTCTGAGCCCTTCTTCTCCCAGAAGGGCCATTTCACTACCAACCCGGCCCAGACCACAGCTTTCCTGGCAGTAGAGACCACTGGGAGCCTCCCAGAACTGAGGCCCATGAAGAAAATTCTGAGAGTGTCCTTGGTGCCATCTCCATCTTTCTGGAATTCTAATTGGTGTAGGTCAGCCTATTCTCCAGGGTCAGTGCTGGGGATAGCACTGACCCAGGAATGGGGTGTCTCAGCTCTCCAGTCCCGAAGCCCTGCACCGGAGGATCATCCTTCCTTCCAAGAGTTTCAAGCCATGTTTCCGGGAGGCAACACTACTGACCAGTCACCTGTGGAGCCCCACAGTGAGTAGCCATGGTGGGGTAGGGGCTGGGAGGGAACTGGGACACTTGGAAGCCTAGACCCTGGGACTAGCTTCTCCTCTGAAACCTCCAGGTCTCTGAATAGGTTCCACTTTCCTTAGAAAGATTCTAAAATTTTTCAAATTCATCACTCAGCCCCAGAGTGTAACTGTTGGCCCTTTGTGATCTCCCCCTCACACCTATCCCAGACAATCACTGATCTGATTCCTGTAACTGAAGATTAGTTTGTTTTTTCTAGCATTTTATATAAAAAGGGAMATGATGTATACACTCATTTTTAATTCTTTACTGGTCAGGTAATTTTCAAATATTTTCTCTGCATCCATGACTTGCTTTTTTATTCTCTGAACAAGATTGTATTTTTTTGTGCATGTGTGTGGTGCTGGGGATTGAACCCAGGGCCATGTGCATGTGAGGCAAGCACTCTACCAGTTGCGCTATATCCTCAGCCCAAGATTGTAATTCTGATAGCCTAAATTATTTATTTATTTATTTTTTGGTGCTGGGGATTTTTGGTGCAGGGCCTTGTGCATGCTAAGCATATGTTTACCACTGAGCCATACCCTCAGCTTCTCTCCCTCTCTTTCTCTCTCTCCCTCCCTCTTTCCTGAAATGGATCATGCTTTTGGTCTTTTTAAATTTTTTTTAATTTTTAGGTGTCAATGGACCTTTATTTTATTTATTTATATGCGGTGCTGAGAATCGAACTCAGTGCCTCACACATGCTAGGCAAGTGTGCTACCACAGAGCCTCAGCCCCAGCCCATGCTTTTGGTCTTGTATCTGAACAATCTTTGCATAACTCAAGGCCACAAAGATGTTCTCTGTTTTCTCCTGGAAATTTTATAGCTTTTGGTTTTACATTTATGAAATTCTGTATAAGTGTTTAAGGAATGGATTGAAGTCTTTTTGTTTTGTTTTGTTTTGTTTTTGCATAGGGCTACCCATTTGTCTCAGCACTATTTTTTGAAAAACATTATCCTCTAAGAATTACCTTTTCATCTTTGCTGACAATCATCTGTCCACATCTGTGTGGTTGTACTTTTGAAGTCTCCACTCTGTTGCACTGATCTATCTTTGTTTGTTGGTTTGTTTTGTGGTGCTGGGGATTGAACCCAGGGCTTTGTTCATATGAGGCAAGCACTCTACCAACTGAGCTATATCCCCAGCCCTGATCTGTCTATCTTTACAAGACAGAATATTTGCCTGGCCTTCAAAGGCCATCTGCTGAGGCCTCACACACCCACCTAGGCAGAGCATGAGGAATAGTACACGAATATTCCAGAAACTGTCCCTGCCTTCTTGGGTTCTTCCCCCTTTTTTTCTTCCCTCTATTTTTGTGGGAGGCTAGAATCAGGAGGCAACCAGAAATGTCTGAGATTAGGTCCTAGTTGATGAGGTGAGCCAAGAATGCAAGCAGGCCCAAGGCAGGGGCTAGTGGGGCTGGTAGGAAGACCCCCCAGATTAAAGAGGCTGCCGAGTCTCCAGGAATTACCCCGACAACAAAGGCCTTCCTCCCTCCCTCCCTCCCTCCCTTCCTTCCTTCCTTCCTTCCTTCCCTATGTTAGGCAAGTACTCTACCACTAAGCTACATCCCCCAACTCTTCTTATTTTACTTTGAGTCGGGGGTTCCACTAAATTGCCCTGGCTGGCCTTGAGCTTTTGATTSTCCTGCCGCTGTCTTCAGAGTGGCTGAGATTGGAAGTGTGCRCCATCACACCAGACTTGACAAAGGCCCTTACTCAGGTCTCCCACATCCTCAAACTTTTCTGTAGGCCCCTTTCCCTATGTAATATTGAAGTTCCAGCCGTTTGAAAGGACATTCCAATGTAGATCCAGTGTTATCAAAGGGCGTGGCACTCCTCCATTCTGGCCTTGTGAAGTGAACAGTGTGCTTCCTCCTGAGATACTTATCCCCACCCCCGCCCAAATTTGTGATCATAAAATGTGTATTTGTGGTCTACAGAGTGTTTAGGAAGTAAACAAGGGCAAATCAAGGGGCTTCATGCTTAGTGTACAGATACACCATAGGACCAAACACGGGCTTTCCTCATACCTATTTTTTTTATAATGACCCATCTATGGTGAAATTTCAGTAGAATTAAACTTCAACAGCTTTAAAGGATATAATTAGTTACTTTCAAGTTAAGCAATTATTATGGCAAAAATAATTCAAACTTTACTGCCTGGCTCTGGGTGATCTACTTGTAGGCAGGTATTTCAATCCCCCAACCCCTTGTTCATGTATGATAGCTAGGTTGGTATTCATTTTTTTTTTTAATTTGTTCTAATTAGTTATACATGATGGTAGAATGCATTTTGACACATCATACGTAGACGAAGAATAAATTCTCATTCTTCTGGTTTTACATGATGTAGAATCAAACCAGTCATGTAGTCATATATGCACATAGGATAATAATGTTCAATTTATTGTACCATCATTTCTACTACCATACTTCCTCCCCTCCCTTCACTCCCCTCTGTCTAATCCAAAGTACCTGTATTCTTCCCTAGCACCCCCCATTGTGAGTTAGCATCTGCATCTCAGAGAAAACTTTCAGCCTTTTGTTCTTTGGGATTGGCTTATTTCACTTAGCATGATATTCTCCAGCTCCATCCATTTACCAGCAAATGCTATAATTTCATTCTTCTTTAAGGCTGAGTAATACTCCATTGTGTATATGTACCACAATTTCTTTAATCATCAATCTGTTGAAGGGCACCTAGGTTGGTTCTATTGTGAATTCAGCTGCTATAAACATTGATATGACTGCATCACCATAGTATGCTGATTTTAAGTCCTTTGGGTATAAACCAAGGAGTGGGTTAGCTGGCTCAAATGGTGGTTCCATTCCAAGTTTTCTGAGGAATTTCCATGATGCTTTGGTCTTCATTTATTTATATTTTTGGTCCACATTCTCAGGTGGCCCATCCCCAGGGTCTGGGTGGCTGCAGTGTCCAGCAGGCTGCCTGAGAGGGATGCAGGGCTGTGTCATGGACATTGCCCTTGGATCTTTTAAAAGCATTCTGATGGGCACATTTGATCTTCCCTACATAATGGGCCTTTGGCTGCCTTCTCTGATTCTTCCTCCCCCCAGATCATCATTATTTTGACAGCGTAGCAGGAATGCAAGAGGAGATGATGTTCAGAGGGCATATGGAAAATTCCTACACTTGGCATGAGGAGATCCAGATGTTGAAGTACAGAGTGGACAATGTCAGTTCTCAGATCCAGACACTTGGCAGTCATCTGGGAGATGCTAGGGCTGACATCCAGTTGGTAAAAGGTGCTCTTAAGGCTGCCAATACCTTGAGCTCACAGACCCAGACATTAAACAGCTCCATGGAGAGGGCCAATAGCGAGATTGAAAGGCTGAAGGGAAGTCTACAAGATGCAAATGCTCTAAACACCCAGGCCCAGATCTTTCTGCAGGGCAGTTTAGACAACACCAGTGCTGAGCTACAGGTGCTGAGAGGTCATTTGGAAAGGGCAAATGATGACAGTTCCGTGTTAAAAAGAGAGTTGGAAACTGCCACTGCCCAGATCCAAATAGCAAGTGGCCATCTGGAACAGACGGATGCTCAGATCCAAGAGCTAAAAGCAGAGCTGGAAAATGCCAGTGCTTTAAATTTCCAGATTCAGGTGTTAAATGGTCAGTTGAAAAATGCCAGCAGAGAGATCCGGACCCTAAAAGAAGGAATGAAGGGTGCTGCAGCCTTAAGGTCCCAGACTCAGATGTTAGAGAGCAACTTGCAGAAGGCCAATGCTGAGATGCAGAGGTTAAAAGAGGATTTGGAGAACACCAAGAATCTAACTGCAAAAATCCAGGAGGAGCAGAGTCGCCTGGGGAACCTTTCTGCAACCACTGCTTCCCAGGAGCAGCTACAGAGCACCCAAAGTAAGTGAGAGGGAGGGGTCTGGTGGGGCAGGACAGTGTCTTGGGTGGGAATGGTGGGTTGCTCACCTCCTCCAAGTTTTGCTTTCCTCTTCTTTAAAGTGGGGATGGTAATATGTGGTTTACAGCGAGGATCCAATGAGTTAACACATGCCAATATTTGTGCACTCATCTGACATTTTTTTTCCTTCTTTTTGGTACCAGGGATTAAACTCAGGGGTGCTTTACCACTGAGCCACATCCCCAGCTCTTTTCAATTTCTAGTTTTTGAGACAGAGTCTTGCTAAGTTGTTTAGGGCTTTGCTAAGTTGCTAAGGGTAGCTCTGAACTTGTGATGCTCCTGCCTCAGCCTCCCAAGCTGCTGGGATTACAGGTGTGCAATACCCTACCTGGCTCATCTGATGTTTTATTGAGGCCCTATTAAGTGTCAGGTATAAAGATGAATAAGACTTGCTATGTATCTTTGACAAGCTTTTGGACAAGGATGTCCATGTTGCATGAAAGATACACAGACATATGTAAGAGGTGAGAAGTGAGAAGCTGGTCCTGGGAGCTGGGGTGAAGGAGGAGAAGAAAGAAGCAAGAAGGAACCTTCTGAGGGGTATGTGTGGGGAGACATCTTTTGTGGGAAAGGATCAGAGGCTTCTGTGTTGAGATGATGGCCTTTGAACTGAGTCCTGGAAGACTAATAGTATTTGCCAAGAAAATCAGGTAAGAAAGCAACACACAGCCATAGAGCTGTGAAATTGATATTCTGGAAACTTCAGTTACTTTGACTAACCTGTGGGAAAGAGGGCAACTTTATGAGGTGCAAGTTAAAAAGATAGCAAGCATGGACCAGAGCGGTGACTTTCACGCTGCTTTGAATGTAAGCACGGCATGAAATTCATTTTACATTGTAACAGCATAAATAGGCATACCTATGCACTTCAAAAAGAAAATGTTTTATTGCATCAGTGCCCTTGGATATTTTATAATCTATTCTTTATAAAAAAGCTTGTCATGACTCACTAATGGATTGGTGAATATGGTCCAAAAAACACAGCACTAGCTAGGTGTGATGGCACACCTGTAGTCCTAAGTACCCAGGACACCGAGGCAGGAGGATTGCAGGTTCAAGCCCAGCCTGGGAAACTTAGCAAGACCTTGCCTCAAAATAAAATTAAAAGATCTGAGGATGTAGCTCAGTGATAGAACACTTGCCTGGCATGCACAAGGTCCTGAGTTCAGTCCATCTCCAGTATCAGGGAAAACAAAGAAGAAAAGAAAACACTGAACCATGAGGGAGGGAAGTAGCCTGGGAGACACAGCCTGGACAGGGAAGGCCTCTGAGCTTGTGTTTCCTCTCTTTTGGGGAATGAAAAATTACAGAAGAGTTGCATCTCTAGGAGGAGGCTCCTAGAGATGGAGAATAAAAAAGGAAGAGGAGCAGGGAGATTTTTCATGCTGGTCTGGGATGCTATGGGGGATCAAGGATGTTACCCAGAGCTTGTCTGAAATCCAAGACAGAAACCTGGGATACAGTCCTAGGGATATAGTCATAGTCACTGGGAGCCCTGGGTATGTTGGCTCTGGTTGCAGCAGTGGGGGTGAGGGAGTTTGCATGAGACAGACATCACCATGAGAAGAGGGCTGAGGGTGGAAATAGGAAGCCAACCWTCAGGTGGCAAGAAGACAAAGAGGTGTTTCTAAAGAAGAGCAACATATGCAATATAGAGGTGGTGGCAAATATTGAAAAAAGAGAGATGAGAAAATAACGGCTGTGTTTTCATGAGCATTTCTGTATTTTCCATGCGAACCCACGGGCAAACTTCCTTGAGAGTTATTTATTTATTTTCTTTTCTAGATTTGGATAGTCTTGATGGGCAGGTGAGAGAAAGGAAGCAACAAAGAAGAGGAGGCCAGGGATAGAGAGGGAAATGAAATGCACAGGCTGGGGCAAAACCTGCCCCTCTGAGGCCGGGTGTGTGGAAGGCGTGGTTCATCTTGGTCTGCAGATGTGGGAACAGGAAACAGAGGGGTTSGTACTTAGTCCTGCCTCTTTCTGGCTAGAGTGGGAGGAGTTTGCTAAGGGGGAGGGATCTGGAGGAGCTGGGAGAGAAGGTGTGGTTCAAGCAGCTGCTGAAGAGATGGGCTGACAAGGGAGGCGTGGCAGGCAGTCCCCAGGGCCTGCTCTGCTCCATCTGGGTCTGGTGTGGGGGCGGGCAGCCTTCTCTTCTTCATGATTCTTCTAGGGCTTGCTCTCCTCCTCACTCCCCCATGGTCTTTGACTGTTGTAGCAGAGATCCGTCTTCTCCACTTTAGGGACACACTGTGGAGAATCACTCAAGGAGCTTAAAAACTAAGCTCTGGCACTGATTTTTTTTTTTTTTTTGTAGGGGGGGGTTCCTGGATGCAGTCTGGGGACCACGACTTTACAAAAAACTTCCTACATGGTTCTAATAGCGGTCAGACTGAGAAGCATTAATTAGAATTTTTTTTAAAGGGCCACTTTTTTCCCTTAATAGTAGACATTTTAGTCTTCTGGGTTGTCCATTCTGTTGCTGAGGGATAAAGCAGTAGAARATAATATATAAATTAATGGGCGTGGCTGTGTGCCAATCAAACTTTCTGTAAAGAGACTGGCTGGTGGGCTGCAGTTTGCCAATCTTTGGTTCAGGCTGAGTTCTCATACCTTGAAGAACATGAGAATCCCCTGGAGGACTTGCCTACTTGTAGATTGTTAAAACACAATTTCAGATTGAGCAGGGCTGGCTGGGGTGGGCCTGAGAATGTGCATTTCAACTCTGTTCCCAGACATTGCTGATGTTGCCAGTGTGGGACTACATTTTGAAGAGAACTCCTATTGCACACACTCACCATCTTTTTGAGATCTTTGCCCTTACATTATAAATGATGTTTCTGCTTGGTTCAAAGTGTCTTCTTCCTATTGTCTCCACCAGGTTGGAGAATATATATATATATGTTGTAGATGGACATGATACCTTTATTTAATTAATTTATTTTTATGTGGTGCTGTGGTGCTGATCGAACCCAGTGCTTCTCACATTCGAGGCAAGTACTCTACCCATTGAGCCACAACCCCAGCCCCAGGTTGGAATTTTTTGTAGTACAAATCTGAGCATGTTAGGATCCTTCTTAAAACCTTTCTCTGATTTCCATTGCTCATAGGGAAAAAATCCAAATGCTTTACATGATATGTTGAGTGCTGGTGAATCTGTCCAAGTTTAACTCCCATCCTTTATACATTGACCACAGGCCATCTGCTCAGTTTATTTGGTAGCTTCRACAGGCCAGACATACTATGTCATTGAATGCATAAAGCTTTGATGCCTACTCTTTCCTATGTCTGAAATGTTCTCCTGGAACTTCTGAAAAACTCCCCTTCAATCTCTCAAGACTTATATTGAGTGACATCTCACTGAGGATGCCCCTCTGGAGCCATACCTCACTCCCAGGTGAAATGAACCATATCCTCTGTTCTAACATGCACATGGTTTTAATCAACACTTTCTCTCTTTTCATTTACTAGAGTCTAAGTTCCTCAAGGGCATCATCAATCATGTCTTACTGATCTTTGTATAACAGCCCCTGGCTCAGAGAAGTTTAGGAATGTTGAATAATGAATGTTGAACACAAGAATAGAGAGTAAGTGAGCCTGTGCAGCTCCATTCACACGACTGGACTGTGGTGTAGATAATGTCAGAGATCAGGTGTCATGGCAGGGAGAGATGAAAGAGCTGAGCTCACAGAAGCAGCTCTCAGAGGTTGGGGATTATGATGTCCTGCAGACTAGGTGGCGATAAGTTCCCAGGATGGCCCTGGGTATGGGCAACTGAAGGATGGAGATGAAGGGCCAGCAGATGTCAGCAGGGAGGAAGGGCAAAAGGGAGGTGGCACTGGGTGACTGCTCTTAAATAGTGGAAATGAAGGAGGCTCTGAGATGACTGTAAAATCTTCTAGGAATTGGAGTGGACTGTCAGACGGTAGCAGTGAAGTGAGACAGAGGCAGTATAGCCCAAAAGCAGGGGTCTAGGAAGACAGTGTTGACTGAGTAGAGCTGAGCCTCCCAGGAGGGGCTGAGACACCTGGGCTTTGGGGCGGGGTGCGCTTTGCTTCCAGGAGGAGTGAGTAGTGGATTGGTGGTGCAGCCTCCCAGGCCTTGATCCAGGAGCACTGAGCATCAGAAATTTTCTGGGCATTTGAAACTCAGTGGTTGGCCCCAGGAGAGTTCAGAAGGCCAGCATTGGGACATCCACCATTTGCTCATGGTTCTCTCTCTTCCCCAACCTTTGGTCTAGATCAACTACTCCAGCTGATCCTGCAAGGCTGGAAGGCCTATGAGGAAAACTTGTATTACTTTTCTCCAATCAAGAAGTCTTGGCACGAGGCTGAGCGGTCCTGTGTGTCCAAGGGAGCCCACCTGGCATCGGTGACCTCTCAGGAAGAGCAGGTCAGAGCTGCAGGTGGGGGTGACTAATGGAGTTGGTGTGTGGAAGGGTCTAGGGTGCTTTGGCCTCTTCCCTATCAGCACTGTATTGGGGATCTCTGTGTCTCCTCTGTCAGGTAGAGAGCAAATATTTATTGAGTTGGGATGAGTACCTTGACCTGGAGGTAGAAGGACTGACAGCAAAAGTCCATATTCTGGACACCCAGGGCCAGCAGATGTCATCAGGGAGAACAGGCAAAGGGAGGTGGCATCAGGTGACTGCTCTTAAATAGTGGGAATACGTCCCTCCCCCATGCCCTCTGTTTCCTGTTAGGCTTCTTTCCAGTCATCAGTCCTGATATTAATGTCAGCTAACTCAGTGGTGGTGGAGGGCTCATGAGCAGGAGACCCAAAGCTCCCTGAGGAGACCAGACACCCACCTATAAGTCCAGGACACCAAATGCTAATATGGTCCCAGGAAGCCGGTACACTAAGGGTCCTTTTCAGAATTTGTTTGGACATTAACGAAGGACTACAACAGGTTTGGTCCAGTTAGGAGTATAGAACACTCCACTCCTGTGGCTCTCTTGAGACTGTTGTTATAGGACTGTTGAGGGACATGCTACTTTGTAAAACACATCTCCTTAATATGGACAGGACATTTTTGTCCACATAAAGCCATACCCCTCAAGGTCAAGGACCTAATAAAGACAGTCAATATGGAAGATGCTGGACTTCCCTGAGGGAAGTCCTGAACAAGTCCTAGGTTCTCAGCAAGCCATAGAAGGTGCAGGGAGGGCTCCTCCAGGTGGGCTACAAGCCCTGGGACCAGGGAAGGGCCAGCCTGGAGAACCAGCTCCTCATGGGCAGGGTCAAACACAACCCTGCCTCTTCTCCACAGGCATTCCTGGTACAGTTCACAAGTAACTCCTACCACTGGATTGGCCTCACTGACATGGGCACGGAGGGCACCTGGCGCTGGGCAGATGGGACACAGTTCAATAATGCCCGGAGCAAGGCGTGAGTACAGCTGCTGTGTGGTGTGTGGTATGTGATGTGTATGTGGTATGGGTGTGTGATGCCCACAGAGGGGTATCAGGACAGGATAGGTCCTGGGACTGGCAGGTAACCTGTGAGTGTTCCTCTTGGTTTTTCTTTTTCTTTTTTTTTTTTTTTTTGTTTTGTTTGCTTCCTATCCTATGCCTTACTCAGGCCTGGTCCCAAGAGACTCTTTCCCCTATCAGAAGGCATCTAAGTATGCATTCTGGGGTGAGGGCTGGCAAAATCACAGGCTGTCCTTCCCTGACTGAATCCTCAGTAACTAAGGGGGGAACCTCAGCGGAGCCACCTTCAGGGTACCTCTGGCCCCAGTCCTGTCTTCATCCTAGGACTTTTAGGGGGTGAGTGGCTGGCATCAGTTCCTCATGCCACTTCAGGAGGAAGGGACACTTGCTTTGTCTGACGCAATAAAGCCCTATTGTTTCCAGGTTTTGGGACAAAAATCAGCCAGACAACTGGAGGCACCAGAATGGGCAGACTGAAGACTGCGTCCATCTTCGCAGCTCGTGGAATGACATGAACTGCAATAGCCCCTATTACTGGGTCTGCAAGAAGCCCATGGGCCAGCAGGTGGCAGGCTAGAGCTGAGGGAGCGTCCCAGCTGCTGTGGTGGACCCTCTTCTGTGACACCTGACAGGCCTCTGAATTCAGTCTGTTCCGTAGGTCTTCCTTTGGCCTTTGTGTTTCCTGCCATGTCCTTTCACTTCACCCTTTCTAGCATGGTTACATCATGAGATCCAGCAGGATCAATGGCTCCTCAAAGGGAGAGCCTTGATGTGCCTTTGTATTCCCTCAGTCTCCAGCCTAGGCTGCCAATAAAGACTCCCTGAATGAATGGAAGTTCTGTGATTGCTTGTCCCTGTGACAGCCACCGCACTTTCTCCCTAGATTGACCCTCCTTTCCTCTATGTTCCTTCTGTCCCAAATAAGCATACCTTCATTTAAGGGTGTWACAGCTTGTAACTTTTAGCTACCTTGTCGAAAACAGCAGATGTTGGATACAACCTACAGAGACTTCACAAAGAGTCCAAAGTCCCAGGAAGTTCCAGCCTTCCAGTTGTTCCTTCGGTTTCCTTTGGGTACAGACGGGATTGAAACTGGATGTTTTCCCAGCACTCCAAAGACCTGGGATAAAACCAGCGTGGTCATGGTGTATAATTTTCTTATGTATGTTGTTGAATCTTATTTGCTAATATTTTATTAAAGATTTTTGCATATCAGTTCATCATTGATATTGGTCTGTAATTTTTCTTTCTTTTTTTTCTCTTTCTCTCCTGTGGGCTGGCTTCCTCTGTCTCCAGACTTAACCCCCAGAACCGTGTTGCTGGCTTCAGCCTCTTCCTGTGGCCTCTGTTCATCCTTCCAGGGATTCAGCTTTCTGCCAGCTCAGTTTAGAATGAGAATTTCTATGGCAGGTCTCTGTTGGGCCTTGTCGATCTCCACCCTATGCACACAGGGACTCCTATGCAGATTTCTGGAGCCCTTTCTCTGCATAGCCCCTTCTTCTTCCTACTCTGTCCCCAAATTCTAGCACCCCCCTTTCTGCCAAGCTCCTGGGTTTCTCTCCTCAGCATAAGCAGATTGTCATATCCTGTTTGGTATCCTCCTCCCTGCCCTGTGGAAAGAACCTCCGAGAGGGAACCCAGGGAGGCTGTGAGCTCACCTGTCCCCTTCCCTATCTCAGGAACTCAAATCAATTTGCTTTGCCTATTGGCCAGTGTCTGAAAATGATGGTTTCATGTATGTTGTCCAGTTTTCTAGTGGTTTAGGGATCGCTTGTCCAGTTATTCCATTATGATCACAAGTGGAAGTCTGTTATATCTTTTGTGATATCCTTGGCTATGTGTTTTTGGCACGMTTATCAAGGATCAGACTGGATCTGTGGGAGTTTGTGTCTTCTATTCTGTGCCATTGGTCTATGGGTCTGTTTTTATGCAAGTATTATGCAGTTTTTGTTATTATAACTCTGTAGTATAATTTGAAGTCAGGTATTGGGATACTTTCAGCATTGCTTTTTGGCTTGGAATTGCTTGACTATTTTGGGTCTTTCATTCTTCCAAACGTATTTTAGGACTGCTTTTTATAATTCAGCGAAGAATGTCATTGATATTTTGATGRGGATTGCATTTCATCCACATAATGCTTTTGGTAGTATGACTATTTTAACAATATTAATTCTGCCTATCCAGGAACATGGGACACCTTTCCATCATCTGTGTCTTTTTCAATTTCTTTCTTCAATGTTCTGTAGTTTTCATTGTAGAGGTCTTTCACCTTCTTGGATAGGTTTATTCCTAGTATTTTAGGATATGGTGAATGGGATTGTTTTCCTGACTCGTTACTGGCCTAWAGGAATGCTACTGATTTTTGTATGTTGATTTTGTAATCTGCTACTTTCCTGAATTTGTTTATCAGCTCTAGAAGTCTTCTGGTAGAGATTTTTGGGTCTTCTAGATATAGAATCATGTCATCAGCAAGCAGAAACAGTTTGACTTCTTCTTTTCCCATTTGTATCCCTTTAATTTCCTTCTCCTATCTGATTGCTCTGGCTAGAGTTTCAAGAACTCTATTAAATAGGATTGATGAGAGTAGACATCCTTATTCCAGATTTTAAAGGAAATGCTTCCCCCCATTCACTGTGATGTTGACTTTGGCTTTGTCATATATAGCCATTGTGATGTTGAGGTAGGTCCTTTTATCCCTACTTTCTTCAATGGTTTTGAATGGGTGCTGAATTTCACAAAATTCAGCACATTTTTCCCCACATCTATTGAGACGACTGTGAATTTTGTCCTTAGTTTTATTTTTGTGGTGAGTTTCACTTATTGATTTGAGTATATTAAATAATCCTTGCAACCCTGGGATAAAACCAGCTTGGTCATGGTGTACAATCTTCTTATATATGTTGTTGAATTTTATTTGCTAATACTTYATTAAGGATTTTGGTATTTCAGTTCATCAGTGATATTGATCTGTAATTTTTCTTTCTTTTTTGATGTGTCCTCTATCTGGTTTTGGAATGAGTGTGCTACTGGCTTCATAGAATGAATTTAGAAGTGTTCCATTCCCTTTATATTTCATAGGAACAATTTGAGAAGCATTGGCATTAGTTCTTCTTTAAAAGTCGGRTAGAGGGGCTGGGATTGTGGCTCAGTGGTAGAGCGCTCGTCTAGCATGGGCAGGACTCWTGTTCGATCCTCAGCACCACATAGAAATAAAGGCATTGTGTTGTGTTCATCTACACCTAAAAAATAAATATTAAAAAAAAGTCTGGTAGAATTCAGATGAGAATTCATCTGGTCCTGGTCTTTTCTTTGTTGGAAGGCTTTTTATTACTGTTCTATTTTCTTTGCTAGTTATTGATCTGTTTAGGTTTTCTAGATTCAATTTTGGCAGGTCATATGTGTCTAGAAATGTATTCATTTCTTTTAGGTTTTCCAACTATTCAATTAAAAGTTTTCAAAATAGTCTCGAGTGATCCTCTGGATTTCTGTAATGTCTATGATGAGTTCTCTTTCTTCATTTCTATTTTTATTAATTTGGGTTTTCTTTTTCTTTTTTCTTTTTAAATAGGAGTTTTATTGCATTCCTCAAATTACTACACCATGTTTTTTTTTTCTTGGTGGAAGTTTTTAAACAACCATTCATAATTTGACAAAAAAAGATATTTTTGGGGTAAAAATGGGAGTTCATAATCCACTTGAATCAAATGTATGAAATTTGATATGTCAAGAGCCTTGTAATGTTTTGAACAACTAATAATTAAAAAAACAGAAAAAAAGATTTTTTTTAAAGAGAGAGAGAGAATTTTTTAATATTTATTTTTTAGTTTTCGGCGGACACAACATCTTTGTTTGTATGTGGTGCTGAGGATCAAACCTGGGCCACACGCATGTCAGGCGAGCTCGCTACCGCTTGAGCCACATCCCCAGCCCCAAAAAAAGATATTTTGTGAATGTTTCATAGACACGTGGAAAAGAACCCTACTTTTTTGTAGAGGACTTAAATCTGAATAAAGTCATGAGTTTTTCAGTAACTCTCCACTGGGTTTTCTGGTAATTTTACAAAAATAAGCCCATCAGTGTCCATGAAAACTGGGCCAAATAGATAGGTGATATTTCAGTTTATCCATAATTTCACTCATCTTGCTTTCTGGAATTAACATCATAGTTTGCAAGGGCTTCATTGGTATATCATCAAAAGACCACCTGCTCCCAGGCAAGTGTCACTCTCCTCTTGCACYGAGTAGTTGAACTTCAGGACTGCCTTCTCACAGAAAAACACTTCCTCTGCATATACAAAYGTTAATTCATCCTTCAGGTTGCTCCATTTCTTTTTGGAATTGGATTTTCCTGCTTCCACAAAAGTCTTACTGATCAGAAGGTAGAAGGAGCACTTCCCACATGGCTTATTAGTTTTGTGTGACTCTGCTAGTTCTTTCGGAAGCTGCTGGTGCATGATCAGTGCAATCTGAGGAGGGACATTAGTGAATCTTTCACTTAGGAGAAAGCCCACAGGCTTGGTGGTGTCATTTAAAATCTTGTCCCAGCTGTTCAACCACACTCTTTTCACAGTTCTTCTCACAGAAGCTTAGAACCAACTCTTTAATTTGATCAGCACACTGGGTACCCTTTCTTTCAGTTAAATTTAAAAGGCTTATGAAACCAAAAAATTTCATCTTCATCCACATCATCATCGCTGTCTTCAGAAACATTTGTTTGCTTGATCACACTTCCAATAYGGTTCTGTTGGATTAAGAGATCTGTTAGTTCTGCAGTGTTCACAGGAGCCCTTAGGAAAAGCTGCTGCAGTAATTTCTTAATTCTGTCATAATCATTATCTGAGATGGAATAAGCTTCAAATTCAATATTCACTTCTTCATCAACGACCTGGACTTCTTTGTCCTCTTCTCTGTCACTATCCTCATCATCTTCATCTTCACCCCCAACTTCATCCTTCCCTTCTTCCTTGTCTTTTTTTTTTTTTTCTTTTTTTTTTTTTTTAGAGAGAGTGAGAGAGGAGGGAGAGAGAGAAAGAGAGAGAGAGAGAGAGACAGAATTTTTAATATTTATTTTTTAGTT